CAAGTTGGTAATGAATAATGACGTCATAATTGAAAAGAAAAAGATATTCCGCATTTTTAATTAAGCGCAGCTTAATACGATGATATGATAACATACCGGATATATACGGGGTGTTACAGAGACAAGGTGGAGCACTAAGGCAGCTTCAGAATTTCACGTAGAGAGGTTAAGGTTTCTGACCTAGTTAATGTGCTAACCTATATATAGGTGCACTTAACTTAATCCGTCGATATTAGTTCTAATAGCTCCACTAATCATTTTAATCTCAAACTTCATATTCTGAACCTAGCCATTTTTCTAGGATTTTTCATATTTTTATTATAATTTTCGCACACTTTGCCGGTACGCGTTTTATAAGTAGTCAGTATTAGTTCTGACATCAGCACTCATTATTATGACTCCAAACTAGATATTCCAGACCTAGATATTATTCTAGGAATATTCATATACTTATTATAATTTTTCGGGATACTTCACTGGTATGCACTTATATCGCGAAGTAGAATCGGTATCCGCACTTTTCGTCAGGAAAATGACTTTAAGCATTATTCCACTTTAGCTAATAATTCAAAGAAGAAAAATTTGAGTAAGAACTAGTCTAGTGTGAAACTACAACACTTTAGCTAATAATTCAAAGAAGAAAAATCTAAAGAACGAGATTCTTTTGAAATAACATCTTAATATGAAGAGCAAGAATCGGTTGAGTCTGAAACTACAGAAGTTCAATGGTCAACTCATGAGAAGAAAATATCAGCCTAGTGTTCTGTGTATGTTACAGAAGGCAATATTGCATACTATCTTTTAACAGAAGATGGAGAACCATCAATATTCTGCAAAGCAACAATTAGCTCGAATGCATTATTGTGGATGAGAGCAATGCAAGAAGAAATCTAAGTTCTTCATAAGAACAAAACTTGGGAACTTGTGCCATTACTGCAAAGAAGAAGGCTCATTGGTAACTAATGGGTTTATAAGATCAAATTGTTGAACCATAGGTCACCAAGACTAAAAAAGTGAAGTTTTGATGACCACAAAGCACCAAACAGCTCAATATAGATAAACACAATGAAAAGCATGGCAACAAGTTTCAAATGCTCTAAAAATACCAAAGAAAAGTGCAAAAATGAATAAGCTACTCAAATGTGCAAAATTAACCTTAAAGTCAAAGTTTTCAAGGCATACAAGCTACTTGAAGGCTCAAAGCATGAAGACAATGAAGATCATTGAAGACTTAGACCTACATTGTTGTAACAGATATTTTAAGTCTTAGAACTTGTAGAAATGAGTTTATTGAGCTTTACCTTGAGGATTGCATTAATAAGTCATAAACTCATGCATTAGTGACACACACATTGATCATGCATACAAGATCACACACACATTGAATATTGTTATATAAGTGTGAGACATTATCATACATATGTTAGAAGTCATTAGAAATCATTTAGAAGTGATTGGAATCGAAAAACAGCAAATGAAGTAGTTATATGTGCTGGTTTAATTGATTACGCATGATCATGTAATAGATTACATGATCTAATCGATTACCTTAATCGAATACACAAGCTATGAAGGTTTAATCGATTATATGTCGAGGCATAATCGATTACAACTTATACAGAGTTACTTAAACACGAAGTAAATGACATAATTAGATATACAACGGCTATAAACGGCTAGTAACTTGATAGGACACATATATAAATATATTTTAAGGGTTTCTGAAGAAGATCTAACATTGAAAAACATCAGAGAACATAGAATTCAGATTGAACCCTCATTTGGCCTACTTTTGCATGTCTTTAAGAAAAGCTCAATACTTTCTCGTTTTTTAATCTTTTTATGATCTTTTTGAAAATTCTGAACGTAGGGAGGTTGCCCTACATTTGTTGGACGATTTGTGCTGCTGTAATTATTGGTGAGACAGTTGGAGTGATCCTAAGGGTCTTAGGTTAAGTGTGATCAAGGTGTGATCATAGACTTGTAAAATTTCAGTTGTAAAAAGATTTCTTCAAGTACTTGTTGGAAGCTTGATAATAATGGAACGACCGACCTTAGCCTGGATGTAGCTCTTAAGTGGTTAGAGAGTGAGCCAGGATGTATCCCTATGTGATTCTTCCTTACCTTATTCTTTGATTTCAATGCTTATAACTTGTTTTCAGGATTATACATGTTATATTGAATCTGTTTAAGGTCTAAGAATCATTAGTTTTTTGTTTGATTTCATTCTTGAATATTTTCTTGAAAAGGGTATTGCATTTCATTGATTTCTTCTCTTTTCCCTTCTAATTTTGATTCCATTTTTTAATCTCTGAATAGGATGTTATATGTTGTCTTAATTATGTTTTTGAATTGGGAAAAGGTTTATATTCCGTGAATTTCATTTTTGGTTGAAGTTAATACAAAAGGGTTGTGTTTTTAATTATTTCTAGCAAAAGAAGTAACACGCAATTCACTCTCCTCTTGTGTGATTGCTTAGCCATCTTTTCCTTTCACAAATGAAACAATGATGATTAGGTGGAGCGGTATCGTGCAAGATTGGTGGTGAAAGGTTATTCTTAGAAAGGTGTTGACTTTACTGAAATATTTTCACTTGTTTTTCATATTACTACAAGTTGTATAATATTGGCTATATGTGCAATTTTTAAGTGACTTCTAGAATAGTTTGATGTAAAAACTGCATTTCTTTATAGAGATCTTGAAGAAGAAATTAATATGCTCCAACCAGAAGATTTTGAAGAACCAAATAAGGAGAACTTATTTGCAAGTTGAATAAATCTTTATACGGTCTCAAACAAGCATTGAGATGTTGGTATAAGATATTTGATTCCTTTATATTGAGCTTTGAATACAACAGACGTAGTTCATACCATTGTGCTTACTTAAGAGGTATGCTAATAATGAATTCATTATACTATTATTGTACGTTGATGATATGTTAGTAAAAGGCCCCTACAAAGATCTAATTCAAAAATTGAAGGTACAATTGGCTAGGGATTTTGAAACGAAGGATTTAGGTATCAAGATTCTAGCTATGCAAATTCATCGAGACAGAAATAACAAGAAGATTTGGGTATCACAAAAGAATTATTTGAAGAAAATCTTATGGCGCTTCAACATGCAAGATTGTAAGCCAATTTGTACCCCTCTTACTAGTAATTTCAAGTTATTCTTATGTATGAGTCCTAATAGTGAAGCAGTGAGGAAGGAGATGTTTTGAGTATCGTATGCATTAGCAATGGGTAGTTTAAGGTTTGCTATAATCTGTAAAAGATCAAACATTACACATGCAAAGGAGTGTTTAATCGACATATGGTGAATTATGGTTGAGAGTATTGAAATGTTGTTAAGAGAATCTTGAGATATATCAAAGGAACATCAAATGTTGCTCTGTGTTATGGAGGATCTGAATATACTTTCAGATGGTATGTTCATTCTAATTTTTCTGGTGATCTAGAGAAGAGAAAATATACTACGAGTTATGTGTTTACAGTTGCAAAAGGAGCTATTAGTTGGGTAACTAAACTACAATCAGTTGTAGCACTTTCTACGATAGGGACTAAGTATAAGGCAATGACACAAGCTTGTAAAGAAGCAATCTAGATAAGGAGATTCATGGAGGAGCTCGAGCACAAACAATAGAAGATTTCGTTGTATTGTGATAGTCAAAGTGTCATGCACGTTTCAAGGAATCCAACTTGTCATTTAAGGATTTAACACATAGGAATTTTGTTTGTGAAGAGGTAAAAGATGAAAGTGTGAATATGTAAAAGATTCACACTAAGGAGAACACAACGTATGCATTGACAAAACCAATCAACATTGACAAGTTCATAGGATGCATATTTTCATTTGGCCTAGCAAAGACGTAGACAACATGGAGATGGCAGGATAGAAAGAATTACAAGTGGGAGGTTGTTAGAATTGTAAATCCCATATCGGTGACGGTGGGAATATGTAAAGGCAAAGGGTGAAGGGGCTATAAATTCAAGCTTCATCTATCCAATCTATATACACAATTTTTTCATTCTCCTATATATCTTCTCAGTGAATTTTATGAGAAGTTCTCTAATTCAAGAGAGTGATAAAATTGACCTCTCCTTATAATTAAAGAGGTTGTAATTTTGGAATTTTCCATAGTAAAGTTTTTCTATTCTTGCTTTGTGATTTTTTCCGTTGATTTGTTTGAGCATTTTTCATGTTAAATTTCTGTTTCATTTATTACTTTTCAATATCCTTTATTAGCTGTTATTGTTCTGTTCGATATGATTCACTTACCTAACAGATCATTCCTCTGTGATGTCTTATTTTATATTTTTTATATTTTATAGGCAGGGATAAGATTTGTAATGGAAGAGATATTCGAACCTTGCACATGAATAGCCGTACCGATTTTGTTCAATCAGATGAGCTAACTTGTTATTCCCACTTTGCTAATTATCGCTAATAAAATTAGAGCTTCTTTTTCCCAATGTCTTTTCTGTTTTTTGTTGTTTAGGTTAGACTTTATATATTGAAGAAAATATAGGAACGATAATGATCTTCCCATAATGGCCGACTCGGTGCGTTGAAGCTAACATAAGCTTGCCTTGAAAAAGCTACTATAAATATTGTTCTCGTAAAATTTTCAAAAGATTTAGACTACATACAATACTGAAAAAGTTTATATCATGAATTCATTGTAGTGGCATCCATGAAGCTTGCCTTGAAAAAGTGCAGGGCAGATTCTTGTTTACTGCACTAAAGGCCATTGTACTTCTTTTGTGGTTGAATGGATAATCAAACAATTGTTAGATGTAACACACTAAACTCAGACATCATACTTTAGACTAGGGATGTGCAAAATATCCAATTGATCCAAACCAAACCAATGAAGGGGAAAAAATGAATCAACATATTTGTACGAAATAACTCGAACAAAATAGAAGCTAAACGATCAATGTGGTAATTCACACCACATTCTAACATTTGGGATTTAACGGATAGTCCCATGTCCCTTCCCACCTGCCAAATCAGTACTTATGGAGTTATTAAGTATTAATACAAAAGAATGGTATAAAACTCAATTCACATTGAAAATATTTATGCTCTCATGCTGCGTCCAATACTAGTTTTCATATAAGTATGTACATGAATAAAATAGGACCATGAGAACTCGAAAAGGGGGAGAGGGGAAAGGGAGGGAACGATCACAATCCAATGTATACATAATCTGCACAATTTCAGCTCTGACCACTATAATTTGGACAGATTTTTTATTTGATGTAAACACCCAGAAAGGTGCTTGAACAGTACTGGGTTCAAAGTGATCAACCTCAAATCTCTACGGAAGAGAACTTCATGAAAGGAATTTGCCAATATTATCCGCTATTGACCAGAGTTCCCCAAAAGCCGTTCAACTGCAGCATGAACATTCCCAGAAGTCGCAGTGAGAGCCCTTATGTTCTCTTGCGTGTCAAAAAATCCCATCTCTTGAAGCTGTGAAAGCTGGGTGGCATACAATTGCTCTGGTGGCTCTGAGAAGGCAACGAAGTCAGTGAAAGCATTATAAAATGACTTTGAATCCTCTCCTGATCTTGAACAAAAATTGTCTCTTTCTCTATCTAACAGAACCATATCTTGCTATTCAAGAACAGGAGAAGACCAATATCCATATAAAATCTAGGTTAAACTAATTCGTATGTCACTCTATTATATGGGGAATTTTTTATTAGGTCCAAATGTTTTGAAAGTTTATAAATGGGCCGCTAGTTTTAAAATTTTCCAAGTGGGTACCTGTCGGTAAAGCACTACTAAAAAATTATAACGGTGCTCTAATAGTAAGGGTCCAACGATAAATTTTTTAAACTATAGGGGACCAAATTACAAACTTTTTTGGGCTCCCATAATTTAAATTTTTTTAATAGGATCCCTGAATTCATCTTACTGTTAGAAACATAAACCTCTCCTCTAATGGCAGGGACCAATTAGAAATATTTAAAATTAGAAACACCCAGTTACAAGCTTTTAAAATAAAACGACTTACTTGAAAATCCACTAAATAATATAGGGTGCTACAGATTAATATAATTTAAAATTTATTTCAAAAAAGAAAAAGACAACAACAATGCTAACCATTTGATCTATTTGGAACAGCTAGGCTACCAGCTCCAAGTCCACCAAACATGCTCGATAACATCTCCAAACCCATGTTGTTCAACGATCCTACCAATAAAACAATTTGTAGTAATTTTGAACAAATGTTACAATTTCTTCTTGCAAACAAATGGCAGTTTCATCATCCCACATCTACCACCAAACTTAACTCTTCTCCATTTCATTGCTAGGGATACAACCAGGCCAAAGGATGTTTTAGTGCATTTGGCCTTCTAAAGGTAGCACATGAATTAATGCATCATAGAATTAAATTAGAAGCTTAAATTTGGTTTGAAAGGATTTCACGCAGTGCCCGTTGTCCAAGTCCACAACTTTTAAACACACATACCCCGTTCTATGATTTATGAACCACCTAACAAAGTCTAAGTAAAGGCAGTCATCAAAATACAACTAATAAAATTCTCATTTTTAGTAAGCTAGGAAAAATAAACACACTGCTGACCTAAATATCATCATGCAGAGAAAGTAGAAGAGTAAACTCCATTACATTCTTAGACGTTCAACCAAGTCATATAATTATAATTCATACTAACTAAAGTATGGATGGAAAATCTTAAGAGATGACCAAGCAATTTGAATTGCCAATGCAATACCACAGCAACAAAATAACAGCACATAATTTTTATAAACATAAATCAAGAATGGAGGGTTGTTTTGCATACCAGGGCCTCCACCAGTTTGACCCGATTCCCTGCAGAAGCTTACCAGATTAATAGAAAATCAAGCCAGCAAAAAACAGAGGACATACATACTGTATATTTTAACAGATTAGGCCAGCCAGCCAAAACATAAACCACCACCAAACTACTTTAAGCAATGACATCAATCATCCCAAGCATTAACTATGACACACACCACATAAAAATTTAAACCATAAATACTATTTAGTAGTCTCCAGGAAAAATCACAATCAAAAGGCCTTGAGTTGTATGCTGATTTCGTTAGATGCTTATAGTACAAGAAGTGTCATATGGTTTAGTAAGAAGATTAACCAATTCCTAAGCTCAGAAAGCAGTTACACTTTATAATGATTTTAAGCATATAAAATATTAAAGCTTTGAACTTTTTTACTTTCAAATACCTATGACATGATGAATCACAATGGGGACCATATTTATTTTGGATTTTAATATGACATACATACATTGATCAGCTATCTTTATTTCTGAAATATAAATGGTATAATTAGCTTTCCTCTTACACAGACAAATTCAAAAACATCCTCTTTCAATGATTGTTAACGGGGAAATATTAAAAAATCCTGGTTTTCAAACAGAGTGCCTTGTAATCATGGCCAGTAAAAGGAAGCCATAACAATGAATGACCTTTAGCAAATTAATCATGAAAAAGAAAAAAAGATGCAAGAATGCACAGGTGAGGGAATTAGGTGTAAGGTCAGTTGCAATGGGTGGGCTAGCCACTAGGGCAGAGTAAAAAAGTACATCATTTAGCAAAAGCACTGAGACATTGACAAATTGGAATTCTTGTTTCTTAAAAATGCCACTTGAGAATGAAAAGACCAGGATTGTGTAATTACATACCGTGTTGATTGCTGCTGACCAAGTTGAGACAGAAGAGCTTGCTGGAAAGACAAGAGTTGCTGCCATTGTTCAATAAGACAGAGTTGTGAGAATATTAATTGAAAGCAAGGAAGCGTCAAATTACATAGGTAAGCAACGCAGCCTCTTCTTTATCACAATAGATCAAATTTTAAATAGAAAGAGCCAATCCCCACCCAAAAAAAATGCTTAGGGAGGATGCCCTTGGTCCAAATAGGTTTGGATGCTCAATATTTCTTCCATATCAAGAAGTACTTTTAGAATTTATCACAAAAGAAACCAAATGCAAACATCTGAAGCAACATTTGAAAAATTGAAAGCTTGAGTATAATACCACATATTAATGCAAGGAAAGACGCATACCCAACCCTATGATCAACAAAGAATATTCATTGAAATTCATCAACAGATATAAAACTTTAAATCTGTCTACCTGCAATGTCTCAGGTGAAGAAAACAAGCGAAGAAACTCTGGATTTTGCATTACTTCTCTTAGCGAATTTAAATCAGGCATGCCACGCTGTTCAGTATTAACACCAAGAATCTAAAAAGTAAATTAGATATTAGAAGGATCAGTTCAATACATGCACATTGCATCTTGTACTTGTACTAGGCACAGTAAGTAAATACCTGATTCAAAGTTTGCGGGTTTGAAAGGATACTTTGCATCATTTGTGAGATGGCCGGATTTTGCATTAGCTGGGTCAATAAAGCAGCATCTGGCATTGCACTGCCACCCAGCATGCCTTCAAGGTCTGGCATACCTAGTCCTCCCAAGCCACTAGGTGCTTGCTGCCTAGCATCCCCACCAGTGGTTGACCTTCTAGTATTATTTTGGGCACCTCCAGCTACAATGTTCACCATCAATTACAACAGTATTAGTCACAAGCAGCAAAAAATTGTAGTTACTAGCTTAAACAGACAACAATATCAGAAGAAGGAAAAATGTTTTTAAAACCAACTAGTGGAAAAGAGGCAATCAGCCGTAGGATTCTGAGGAGAAAAATATAGTATCAGAACTTACTTGCAGTAGAGGACCAAGGATTAGGAAGCGGGTTAGTATTGGGTAAGGGAGAACCAGCAGTTGCTTCAGAACTAGTAGTTGAGGGATTAGTTGATTGGTCCCTGGCTTGGCCACCATGAGTCCCTGACATTGCGGCATTATTTCCTGTATTACCAGCCATTGTAGTGGCATTTAAAAGTGGTTCTTGAACATTTTCATACATGCGCCTCAGCATGTTGAATCCCTCAGGAGAAGATTCAATGTTGCTCATTGCTCTGTCTGTATTTCTCATCATTTCACGCATGATCTCAGGGTTCCTTGTAGCTTCAAGGGTCTGGCGGAGAGTGCTGGGATCATTAAGTATGTGAGCTAGCTCAGGGTTTCGATCCATGAGCTCTTGCATCTGTGGGTTATTCATTATAAGATTCCGCACTATCTCGGGATTATTTATTAAATTCTGCATAGCAGGTGTGTTCATTATTTCTCTCACTAAATTGGGATTCGAAATAAATGGTTGCTGCATTTGCTCAAGATCAGGAAAGCCCTCGCCAAATAAGCCATTGCCCCCACTCCCATTGATACCCAGTCCAGGGAACAGTGAAGCTCCAAAACCAAGCCCTCCCAAACCCCCATCATCATTAGTACCAGCACCTCTGGCATTATTCGTTGTGGTATTGGTGCCACTAGTATTGGTCCCACCAGTTGTATTGGCAGGTGCAAAGCCACGAACCAAATGCACTGTGTGATCTGCATCCAAACCTATAAAAATAAATAGAAAAGTAAGTTAAGTTCACTCACTAAGGAATACTTTCTTAAGAACCACATGATGAGTCTGATGCATATTGAGAGACAGCATAAATAATACAGCTAAGCACAAGTGGTTGATTCAAAGGGAAATTTTGTGTCCATAGTTGTTTGAAGACCAATGCACAGGACTATAATTTTGTAATATCCATAGAAAGAATAGAGCAAAACTTATTATATACCATATGTTACACATTGTTTTGCGAGCAATCCAAGATATGAAGAGGTAGGGGTTGTTGATCCTTTCCTCTTTCTGTGCTTTGAACGAGATTTTGTAACATGATTTAGTAGGTAACAAAAATTCAGAGAATCCTTTGACTTGTTTTTTTGTCCATTAATTATACTATTTGAACAATCAAACAAGGTACAATTTTTTTTTTTACTATGTTGTCCTTTATTTTTTAGCAAATCAAACGACTGAGTTTTAATGTAAAGAAATCTTCTGTTTTCGAGGAACCAGTGTTACATGGTTCGTGATACACTTTGGTACTTTTACGAAATGAATTTGGTACAGAACTTTTCCTAGTATACGGTACAAGGAGGTATAGTTAGTCGGTTCACAATTTCAGATCAAAATGTGTTTAGGGTTGGATCTCTGTGCATAAACTTCAAATTATAGTATACGTAGTAAAAAATATTATGAATCATAAGTCAAAATATAACAACTAATTGAATAGGCCCAAAAATTAATGCACCTGGGTGATTGACTTGGATTGGGCTTTTCTATAATTTATTCCATAGTTTAGGGTTTTTCAATAATTATTAATTATTTCCTTTTTTGTTATTTTTAGGTTATGTTTGAGTGTGCGTTGATTGTGTTTTATCTCCTTTGATTGTGCATGATTATAGTTATTTACTCATTTGTTATTTTATTTTGCCTATTTAAGGCTTGGAGAACCCTATTATTATTGGTTTTTTTGGTTAAATAAAATTAAGAAAAGAGAAAAGTTTTTTCTCGCAATCCTTGTGTTCGTTCTTTTTCTTTCTGTTTAGCCAATTGGTTACTGCTTCGGCATTATTTGATATCAGAGCTATGGTTGTCACATAAATGGCTTCGACACAATATATTCCGCACTAAGAGCACCAGCGGTGGTAAGGTGTGTAATATGATCATTGATGGAGGGAGCTGCGAGAATGTAGTCTCTAATACCATGGTTGAGAAGCTAGGATTGAAAATAGAGGAACACCCACAACCATACAAGCTTGCTTGGCTAAAGAAAGGAAGTGAGGTGAAGGTGAAGAAGAGGTGTCTCGTGCAGTTTTCTATCGGCAAAAGGTACACTGATGAGGTGTGGTGCAATGTGATTCTGATGGATGTGTGTCATATCTAACAGGGGAGGCCGTGGCAATTTGATAGGAAGACAAAGCACGATGGCTTCAAAAATACTTAACACTTTCAAGAAGGACGGACTAACTATTACCTTGGGTCCATCTGAATTGAAGGAGGAGGCAAAGAACACTATATTGTCCAGAGTAGGTTCCCAAGAGGAATCTACCAATGCCATTGAGATATTTGCTTGTGCGGTGATAGAACAAAATTCTGGTGTTTCTGAATTGTCTCCTTATCATGATGATGAAGAGGGCCTAACGTGCGAGAGTAACCATGAAGACCCGTTAGATTCGAGGATGAATCTTCTTTTGGCAGGGGAGAATGATGCACCTGGGTGACTGACTTGGATTGAGTTTTTCTATAATTTATTCCATAGTTTAGAGTTTTTCAATAATTGTTTAATTATTTCCTTTTTTGTTATTTTTAGATTATGTTTGAGTATGCGTTGATTGTACGTTATCTCCTTTGATTGCGCATGATTATAGTTATTTACTTATTTGTTATTTTATTTTGCCTATTTAAGGCTTGGAGAACCCTATTATTATTAGGTTGTTTTTGGTTAAATAAAATTAAGAAAAGAGAAAAATGTTTTCTCGCAAATCTTGTTTCGTTCTTTCTTTCTGTTTCGCCAATTGGTTACTGCTTCGGCATTAAAAATAGCCAAGGGCTATTTTCTTTTCTTTTTTTCCATTGCTTTTCTGCCTATAGTAATGTTGTGCATTTTGCACTTTCCATCTCTAGGGTTTTAATTTGTTCTCCAACCCTTTTCTCCCCCTTGCAGCCTTTCCTCTATGCGCAGTAACTGCTTTGTGTAAGTTCCTTTTCCTTGACTCTGACTTTCTTTTCTCTTTTCTATCCTTTCTTCCTCTTCTCTTGCTCCGTCACTTGAGAAATCTGGAATGCTCCTCTGAGCGTTTTGGGTTGCAAATGACCTATGCTTGGGATTGAATGTTCCCAAACCAGGGATGCTAGGAATTCTAACAAACCATGTAACACTGCAAGGAACACAGTACTTTTCTGCCTAATACAAGCTATGCTATTCCAAGCATGGTCAACAAATTAATCCTACATTATTATTAATCCACACAGATGCAAAGAAGAGAGTGTTATTCCACACTCTCAAGGATCTGCAGGTGACATAGTTAAACAAATATTTACAATTTTACTGAAATGCATGCAGCATGATAGTATGTAAGTGAAAGGAAAAAAGGAAAATCACGTCTGCATGACCTGGTGATTTACATGTACATAATCAAATATCCAGCGAACAAAACCAGAGTGTTCCAAAACAAAACCAGAGAAAACATTTTATTCCGCCACCTCCAAGCTCAATTTTTTAAGCAAATAAATAAATAAATAAATAGGGATAAAAATTAGCAGAAGGTTATTACAAATCAACAATCTTCCCCAAGTGGAAGCACACTTAATTAGGTGTGAAAATAAAACCTTTCTCTTCCACATCTAACAACCCATCTTCCATTAGAAATGGTGAGTAAGCTTTCTTACTTCAACCATCCATATAATAATCCTAATCCATCATAAACCAGAGTTCCAGACATTTTCAGTTTTGCCATTTTCTTCGATGAAACAACCACGCATATAAATGTAATCAGAATCCGCATGAATACCTCAATGAAACCACATAATCTACAATACATGCCCAATTATCAATCACTTAAAATAAAATAAAACATAAACCCGTGAACAAGACTTATCCAAACAGCATCGAATCGTTCCTACCTAACAAGTCAAATTCAACAATAGAATTACCGTAGCTTTGCAGGGTTTGATCGTCCTTCAAGATCCGACCCTTGTAAATCAGTCGCTGTTGGTCGGCGGGGATGTCGCAGTTCCGAGCGACAACATCCTTAAAGGATCCGACGGTGGATTCGAGGGCAATCTGAACCGAAAATTTGGAACCATTGGAGCAGCGAACGTTGATGTTGACCCCTTCTGCGCCCTTCGATTCCGTCGCTTCCTCGACGGCACTGTCACCACCCATGGCGTCTCTATCTCGTCCCCAACCAAGCAAGGAAGCGCGTCGCTCTCACTCTCACGATCTCGGATTGAATGCGCGGAACGCAGCAATTGAATCGAAGGAACGAATTGAAGAGGGAAATAAACCCTAACACTTCAACGATCGAAAAAGGATGGAAGCTGCGAACTACGGATGGAAACCAGCACAGGAGAAAAAACAATTAATAAGAAAATTATCCAAATGTTTATTCCATATTTATAAAAATTAAAATACGAGAATAACATCAATCATTTTAAAGAACATAAGCTTATATCATTTTAGATTAAAATTGTTGATTTTCGTCCACGATTATAATTTATTAGATCAAAATTTTTAATTAATTAATAATAAATTTGGCCCATTGAGTTAACATAATAGATTATAACCGTTGATGGACGAAAATCAACAGTTAAGATCTAAAAGGATATAAAAAGGATAGATGTTTTTCCCTTAAATATATATATATATATATATATATATATATATATATAGGGGTTTGCATTTGTCATTTAACATGACACACAAAATTTCCTACACACAAAACATTTTGTGGGCCCACACATTTTGAAAAAAAAAAAAATTACAGTACGCAAAACGAATGTCTATAACATTACACAATCATTTTTCCTACAACATAACTCTTATAAAACGCATATATATATATAGGGTTTGGTGTTTGTCATTTTAAATGACATAAGTTATGTCATTTTAGGAGAGAGAGATAGACACAGAAAAACGAAAATCATGGGAGGGAGAAAGTGGGTGGTTTTTTTTAATTTAAAATTCAAATTTTATGTGTTTGTATCTCTCTTAAAATGACATAATTTTCTGTCATTTAAAATGACAAACATTTTTCCCATATATATATGGGCTTATCATTTCTCAAGCTATTTGAAATAATTTTATTTTCGGCTACTAAATTATTATCGTATAAAGATGGATCAATAGTGATCAAGGAAGAGAGAAAAAAAAGGAATCATAACCATTCAAGGGTAATCAATTAACGTAAGGAAATAAATAAACAAAATGACGTAATTTTGGGTAGCCGAAGATAAACTTATCTCAAGTTGTCAGAGAAATATTTTTTTCATTTATATATACGGGGAAGGATCTGTTTACAAACTTTTTTGACAAATTTTTACAAATTATACTATCTTCTCCCGGAAGAACATAGTGAAACTAGTGTTCTCTAGGGAAAAGATAGTGTAGTTTGTAAGAGTTTGTAAATATAACATGCCCCTATATATATATATATATATATATATATATATATATATATATATATATATGGATTTGGTGTTTGTCATTTTAAATGACATAAGTTATGTAATTTTATGAGAGAGATAGACACAAAAAATGGAAATCATGGGAGAGAGAAAGTCGGTGGTTTTTTTTAATTTAAATTTTAAATAAAAATTTTATTTTGTATCTATCTCTCTCTTAAAATGACATAACTTTATGTCTTTTAAAATCACAAACACCAAACCTCTATATATATATATATATATATATATATATATATATATATATAAGAGAAAGATATACTTACCACCAAAAAAGTTTACCATATTTATAACCAACTTAATCACCGTTGATTTTTGTCAATATAACGGTTATAATTTGTTGAAAATTATTTAGTCATATTTATTAATTAATTATTAATTTCAAATAAACTTAATAAATTATAATAGTTAGATTGACGAAAATCAATGGTGATTAGGTTGGTTGTAAATGTGGTAAAAAAATTTGATGGCAAGTATATTTTGTCGCATATATATATGGATCAGGATCATTTTTTTTTTTTTTTATAACATATCAGGATCATTTTACACCAGTATAAGTTATACTCTCAATCTTGTCTGTTGATCTTACTTATATGTAAGGACTCAAATTTTTTAGTAATGTAAGTCATTGGATACAAGTGGATCAATGGTCAAGATTGAGTGTAAGACTTCTAACTCTTACACCGATGTAAGATGATCATGCCCCATATATATATATATATATATATATATATATATATATATATATATATATATATATATATATAGGGCAGGATCATCTTACACCGGTGTAAGAATAATAAATCTTACACCAAATCTTAATCATTGATTTTCTACATCTAACGGTTAAGATTTATTAGGTCTCACTCATTAATTAATTTTTAATTCCAAATAAATCTCAACCATTGGATGCATGGAAATCAACGGTTAAGATTTGGTGTAAAATTTATTATTCTTACACCGGTGTAAGTTGATCCTGTCCCATATATATATATATATATATATATATATATATATATATTGAAAGAATTTTCAGCTTATTTAAAAAATTATGCGCCAAAATTCATTGATTTTGGTACAACAATTTTGCAATTTTTTTAAAAAATACAGTTAGAAAGCTAGTCTTGATTATAGTGGTTTTTTAATTGCATTTGAAAAAGAGTTTGTAAAAAGTATATTATATAAGATTAATGTTTCTACGTGTATGTAAGAACAGTGAAATTTTATGAATAAGAAGAAGAAAAAAAAATACAACATACTCAGTTTTATATATTTGCGAAAGATAAATTTATATATGTTTGTAAGTGAAAAATTAAACTTATATATTAAATACGAGGAAAGATTTTTTAACTCTGACATAACATTAATAAGTCTTATTTTCAATATTTTTGTACTAGTTTATTAAATTATATTGATTACTTAATTATTAAACTCAAATTAATTACAACCTATGTTGCACTGATACCGACACGGGACACGAAATACGACACAACACGACACTCCGACATGTTAATTCTAAAAAATGTTAAATTTCGACACGTTAGGACACGTTTTGATATTATATAATATTTTTAATTCATGTATTGTATATTATATTTAATATTCAATAATTTAACAAAAAAAATAAAGCTAAACTTATAATACCCATCAATTTTGCAAAGAAACATAAGAATAGTAATCGTAATCCAACGAATCTAATAGTTGGAACTCAAAATGTATCGCAACGTAACTTTTGAATCTCTTTTGAATCTTTGCAACAAGTATTGGAGTGTCTGGAAGTGTCGGACACGACACGTCAGAAATTTTGAAGTGTCGGTGCTTCATAGATTACAACCATCAAATATAGAAAGATCAAAATTCAATTTTTCTTTATATATAATGAAAAAGTCGCATTAGCTTAATAGGACTTCTCAAGTTATACTAAAATCAATAAATTGGTATCATGAATTAAATAGATAAACAATCAAACAAAGAATTAAATAAATGATATTTTCGTTGGAGAGGTATGTTACCAGGCTCAAAAGATAAAAAGGGTTAAACTAATTAGCTTCTTTTATTAATTTCAGTTATAATTCTAACTGAAATTAATAAAAGAAGCTAATTAGTTTAAGTTATATTAAATTGGGCCTTTTTTCTTTTGAGCCTAAATCTTTTGAGCCTGGTAACTAGGTACATTCCTAAATTCGCCTCCTTTGGAAAAAATTTAGGGTACTACAAATCTATATATATATAAAGGAGAGTTCACTGTTGGATGTCAAGTGTCACTCCCTGGTTAATTCTACAATTTGGTTATATACAAACTTTCTTTATTTGGTAAATTGATAAAAAAAAACTCTTTTAAAAATTGAATTTTAATTTTTAAATCGAATAATAGTTGCAGACAAGGCATTGAATGTCTCACTGCTCATCACATTGGTATCCAAAAAAAAATCAGCTGTTTTAATTGCTTTTTATCTTGGAATTGGTCATCTCATCTGAAATTCGAAATTTTAAATGGTTTATCAATTAAATTTCGAAATTATGTATTTATTTTGCAAAATCTGAAATTTGAAATTTTAAATTCAATAAAAAGAAAACTCTATCAGATAAACTATCATACCAATATTCTTTTAAAAATTGAATTTTCAAAATTTTTAAATGGTTTATCAATTAAATTTCGAAATTATGTATTTATTTTGCACAATCTGAAATTCGAAATTTTAAATTCAATAAAAAGAAAACTCTTTTCACGGACATGCATTCACGATCTCAATTCACATATTTGTTTTGGTAATCACTTCCTCCGTGTTTAACTTCAAATAGGAGCGTTCCTGTAGACAAAGTAATGTTTATGCATATTCGGGAATACAAGTTTATCTGTTTGTCGTTAGTTATTTTCCACAATATTTTCAATTGTTTTATTGGAATGATAAATATGTGGTTAATCCGGTAATTGGATAATCAGTTGTTTAATAAGTTTCAAATTTCGAAATTTTAATTGTATAATCAGCTGATTTAATTCTTTTTTATGTTGGAATGCGTTATCTGATCTAAAATTCGAAATTTGAAATGGTTTAAAATTTTGAATTTAAATATGGATGGTGGGAAAAGAATTTCTTTTAAAAATTCAATTTTAATTTGTAAATCGAATAATTAAATGACCATTTGTGGTGGCAGACATAAAACAATAATTAATTAATAAATATGGTTTTGAAATTCAAAATTTTAATTGGATAATCAGGTGTTTTAATTGTTTTTTATGTTGGAATTGGTCGTCTGATCCGAAATTCAAAACTTGAAATGGTTTGAAATTTTGAATTTAATTATGGATGGTGGGAAAAGAATTTCTTTTAAAAATTGAATTTTAAAATTTAAATCGAATAATTAAATGACCATTTGTGGTGGCAGACATAAAAGAATAATTAATAAATAAATATGGTTTTGAAATTCAAAATTTTAATTGGATAATCAGGTTTTTTAATTGCTTTTTATGTTGGAATTGGTCGTCTGATCTGAAATTTGAAATTTGAAATGGTTTAAAATTTTAAATTTAAATATGGATGGTGAGAAATTTTTTTTTTTTAAAATTCGAATTTTAATCTTTACGCGCAAGAACCAAGAAGCATCTGAAGCTCGAAACGCCTACATTTTTTTATTATATAGTTATTTTGTTTTTAAACGTTGAAACAGATAATGACATTTGTCTTTCATGACCAGAAATTGTTGAGGCATTGATGACATGACTTCTACTCCCTCAAAAAGCAAAACATATATTTAATTAAATTACCGATTAAGTAATTAAAATTTATAATTTTACGAATAAGTAATTTTGTAAATTTTAAATTTTTATTACCCAAAATTATAAAGTGAAAGCGCACATGTTCTGACCATA